CTCCCTCTATTTTCCTGTATCACTTGCCTACAATGCAGTATATCTAAAAATAAACCATGAAATAAAAATCAGGAATACACATAAAAAGTAATAAGGAACTTGGTCCCCTATGGTATCTTAATGGGGTAAGGAAGTAGGGAAGCCTGTGCAGGTCTCTATTGAAGTCATTCGTTAACTACCTTTCCCTTGGTGTGGATAATGAAAATTACTTCATGGTTACTTCTCCCACCATCTTTCTTTATTCTCTAAAGGATGCATTTTAGAAAGAATAATCACAATGAAAAAATACAAGGTTGATATTAAGGATGCAGGATGATACCAGCGCAAGCCACTTGAACTTTCTGTACCTTTCTGTAAAGTGCAGACACAACACGTCCTCTTGCTATGCTAAAGAAATACTGAAAAGATAAAATTTTAATCGAAAGTAAGGGTGACAAAAAGGAAAATCCACAAAGGATTTGTGGATCCTTTGTAATTCACTGAGGGTAGAGTATGATATGGTTGTCAGTCCTTCATCCTCCTGTCCTATCTTTTAAGCTGTAACTGCCATGTGAACAGGAATGGAAGGTGGCGGGAGAGGTAGGCAAGACTCTAAGATCAGTCATTGGCACCCTACCGCCCACAGGCAATATCCGGATCACCGCCTGATTTTGTGAATCAAGTTTTATTGGAACACTTACACACCCATTTGTGTTTGTGTTATCTATGGATGCTTCTACAATAAAGCAGAATTATATAGTTGTGATAGACTATGAAGCTCACAAAGACTAAAATACTTATTCTTGGACCCTCTACAGAAAAAAAAGTTAGTTGGCCCTGCTCTAGAGTGTCCCGAGAGATTCTTTTCCTACCTATTCTCCTCAGTCCCAAAGCTACTGTGGCAGTGGGCCCTGGACAAAGGCTTTCCTGGACCACGTGGTCACTGAGGATTCCGCACTGTAGCAGGGAGCTTCAAAGACATTCCTAGACTGCATGGTCATTAAGACTTCCGCGTTTAATATTTCCGAATTCCTACCTCACCTGGGAGCCAGTCAGAAACTGGCACAATGGCCACATGTCCTAATAACGAACCTTAGCTGCTAACCCAGAAACCTCAGAGTATATAGCCCCAAGTCCCGCCCGGGTTGGGGCTCAGCCTCTGGATGTAAATCCGCTGAGCTGGCACTGGCATAAATGTTGCTTCCCGAGCCTTGGTGTCCTGTCTCTCTGAGTTTCCCGCAACACTACCAGGATGATCCATTAGGGCATGGGAGAAAAATCTGGCAATGGTGCCATGTGTCACATGACATTGATGAGGAATCCTGAGCAAAGCAGGTATTTGCACAACACAGCGGGGTTGCCGGCTGCACCACTCACTGTTCTATGCTTTCAGCACATTGTATCATATTACTATGCCTGTGTGTCTGGCTAAGTGGCTTTAGGAATTCTGTTGCTTCATTTAAGCTAAATTAATACAAAATCGAAAAAGGGCTACAGAGATTCTTTCAAAGACAACACAGAATGAATATTACAGTAACAAAGCAAGCAAACACGCAACAAATAAAAATGGTAGAGCTAACATTTTATCTTCTTGTATGAGCTCTTTCAGGCCATAAAATGATTATAATGTAAACAAATCTTCGTTCTGATTAATCCTGTATACATGTGTGTGCGCGCCCATGTATATTACGCGTGCGCGTGTTAACGATCACGCTCTCCATCAATCATGCCCATCAAACCCTTGTCCTAGAAGTATACTCTGTTTTGAATTTACTACGTTCTCATCAACATCTCTGACTAATACCTGACTTCTTTTGAATTTTTTCTTCCCACCTCACCCATTTTCTCTAAACAGAAACACCAAAGCACATTGCTGTGCAAAATCAATGCCTCATTTGCCCCTGAGACTGAGAATTGTAATTCTGCATGTGCCTTTGGATGCTTGGGGAATGACCTGGAAACAGGTCTGCGAGAGACAGATTTTCCAACTATCTTCTCCTTGCTCCTTTTCCTCCTTCCCAGCCAAATTTTTCTTCCTTTCACTGTACATTAGAAATACGAATTAAGATCTGTTGGATTTAAGCCTTAAAACTCATGAAGATTTGACCCAAATTAATAAAACAGTTTTTGAGAGTATTAATTATAAGAAGAACCCTAGCAAACTAGATAAAATATGGGTGTCTTGCCAATAACATCTCTGAATCTCCTTTTTCTAATCTATAAATTGGTTGTGATATCATCTGTCTTTCCTTTCTCATTGTTACCAGGGTAACTAGAGATAGTTTATGAGTTACGAGCAAATTTTAAACTATAAGTATTAGATAGACTTTGGAAACCGATCATTATTTTACTTTGAATCCATACTAAAAACAAAACAATTCAGAAAAATGAGGGAGGGAGGGAGGTGGGGACACAGAGCAAAAAACACAGCTTTCTATGTGGTAGACACTCGCTGAGTATTTACATATACAATTTTATTTAATCCTCATAACAACTGCATGAAGCAGATGCCCTGTTAGTCTGTCACTCACCCACTTCGCACCATTAGTAACTGATTCCGCATCTGTCTAAATCAACCCCTTGTAACCACTGCACTGTACACACACACTTTTCCAGCTTTGGATACTTGCCTTACTCTCTTGGCAACTCATTTTCCTCATTTCTAAAGGGATGGAGAGAAACGTCACTACTGTCTTGCACTGGCTACATTACCAAATCTCACCCTAATAAAACCCCACTTCTTAGAAGTGCTTCTAGCCATTTCTTCTTTGAGAAACTGAGACAGAACATTGAATCACTCTAACCCAGGCTTCACAGCCAGCCTGTTGTGGAGCCTGAACTTCAGTCACCAGTTCCAGCTCCATTTTCTACCTGGCGGTGAATTTTCTGGGATCAACTAAGACAACCTAAATAAATATCAGGCACACAGTAGGCATACAACATCTAGTATGCATTTTCCTTCCTAAATAAACTCTTCTTTTCTCTTGGAATATGATCAGCACAATGATTTATGCTCCACTTCGAAGCCTGAAAATGAGGACTGAGGTGAAACGTCAATCTGGATTGGCTAAATCAAGGACAAGCCATAGCTGGGCCATGAACGCGGAGTGTGATATGTAGACCGCAAGCTTTCCACTGGGTTCCTGCTTACCAGCATGTGCTACGCTAGCAAACTTCACTCTCAATTCTTTTGTTTTTGAAGAAAAACATTTCCAGCTAATAACACAATTACACTTAAGTATCAGAGCTCATTTTAGTATTATTGCATTTGTTAAATCTAACTGAGTCCAAATTACTTCCTCATTGCTAATAAGAGAGAGGGGCGGGGGAAAAGCAGGAGGAGGAGACAACTGAGGTGGGGAGAGGCCGTGAGGGCTAGAGGAAGAGAAAGAGACATACACAGAGTGACAGAGAGAAAAACAGAGATATTGATGCTGCATATAGCCTCAAGTCCAATAAATGTCAGTGAAACTTGCTCCCCACGGTTTCTATGGAAACCCCTTAAGTTAAGAGTGGAACACAGACATTTTTTGGACTGCAATTCACAAGCTGTTTATTTAATTATGATGAAACATGAGACAGTTTGGGACAATGCTATTATCATACTGATAGCATTTAGAATTCAACAAATAGGTATGGCAAAATAAAAAGTTAATCTTTTCTTTTGTGAAAAATATTAGTGTCATGTGAATTGCATGCAAATAATATTCATCTTGGTTTTACAGGACTTTACACATTACTTCCCGCAGGTGAACCCCAAATTAGCTAAATGACATTTGTTAAAAGGTAGCTCTTTGGAGGTGTCATGCCAATTAGACTCCCCCCCTCCAACCCCCTTGCCCAGTGAACAAAACCAAGGTCACAGCATTTTTCAATTAAACCCAGGATAGCTCCAAAGTGCAGCACAGCTGGAAAAGCCAGCTCATTATTACCCCATAGATCATTTGTGAACAACGAAGGTCTCTGGTGTTTTTCTGTTTTGTAGACATTTGAATATAAAAATAAAGAAAATAGCTTCAGATTAGCTTTTCCCTTACAAAATAAACAACCACTTTTAGGGCATTATTCCTGGTGGCCCGAAGAAACATGACGAGAAGTCATCACTTTTCTGTCTCCGATAATTGGAAAATGTTTGCTTAGCTTTTCATTTGGCCCCAGGGAACCATCGGATGGATGGACTCATTCATACCCATGGTCCTTCACTAAACAAGCATTTAGTTTCCACCTGCAATGGGTCAGGCACTGTGCTAGGGACAAAGGAGACAAGATTAAACCCCATTTCCTGCTTAATCATGGGCTTTTTGAAGGGAATGTATTCATTTTATTGATAAATATTCATTGAGGGACAACTATGGTTCCAAGGCACCCGAGTCACATAAAACCAGGCTCCTGCCTTCTAGGAGATTACAATTTAATGGAGACAAAAAGACTCCTAATCATGAGTCACAGAGCAAGAAGGCAATGGTTGGGCCTGCTACCTCCCACTCTTTTCTTTCTGGTAGAAATGCCACTCATGGCTGCTGTGCTACCATAGCAGGTAAGTATGCTTGTGTGTATGGCACGATTGGCTGGTAGAGGGCGGGCTGAGGAGGGAGCTTCAGGGATGTTTCCACAGGAGAACCCCGAATCCAGCTCTGTCCATGAGCCACCAGTATCGTTACAAAATCTTTATCCCTTAAAATTCGACTGAAGGAGGAGACGCTCACAAGAGAAGGGCATCCAAGGGTAGTGACCTCTGGTGTCAAGCTGGGAACACAGAGGGCGTTTCTAAGCTGACAAAGAGAAACATACAAGAAATTTGCAAATATGACTCTGAATATGTCTTTTCTAGTATATCGCAGCCTATTTTTTAAAATTCAGTAGTGGTTTACAGAGGCTGGGCTTCCCACAAGTGGCTGGCGCTAGCAAAGCCAGTCGCTGCTGTTATTGGAGTTGACAGTGTATAATGAGCCATTTCACATTTGCTGCTGTGGTGCTGTCCGGCGTATTGTGGAAAAGATTTAGCATGAATCATCACCCACCTAGCCCTCTATTGTGGTCTCCATGCTGTAAACAGGCAATGTGTTTGACAATCTAAAAGAAAAGAAAGAAAAAACACCCATTAGAACAATTCAGCACATTTCTCGATCTGCTGCCACCACCATCGGCACAGACAACACTGGTGACAATATTCATTGAATCACCACTGTATTTTTACACTCTCCTGGGAAGGAAGCCAAGGCAGCTATTTCAACCACTGGCCACTTTGAACAATGCACTGCTTAATGCCAATAAAAGAATGCATTTGGTGTCTGAAGATCTGTCGTCTACACTTGGCTCTGATTTATCATATGCATGACCTTAAGCGAGTCACATGTTCTCTCTGTTCCAGTGTCTTGACTAAAATCAACTCTTAAGATCAAATGAGATCATGTATTTTGAATACGGATAAGAAAGGGTTAAAGAGAACACTGATTTATTAGTCAAATGGGATGTTAAGAGTTTGACATAGGCATCTGCTGCAAATTCCAATTGGGTTTTTTTCCAACATCCAAAAACCAGAGATACTAACACCTCCTCCTCCTCCCCATTCCTCATCCTACTCTACCCGACTCCTAACACTTATGTGGTAACAGCAGATAAAAATTTAGATCTGAGGTTGAGAACCATATAGGACTGCAAGTAAAGAAACATGAGGAGACAGAGTTGGCATTTTGCAAAGCATAATGAAATAAACTAAACAATCTTTACTTCCAACAAATACAGATCTTTACAGCCCAAACTTAGTCATACAGTTGGTGCAAACTGTACAAAAGGAAATCCCGAGCCAGAGCAGATGGAAAAAAGCTCATGCAATTAGTAGTTGAGATCAAAGGAATGACATCGATATTGAAATCGCCAAGAATCCTATCAGGAATAGCACTGGAGAGAACAACAGGGAGGCAGGTGTTAAAATCCTCAAGGAACAAAGAGGAGTGAAGTGTGGGTCTGTGGTTTGCTCCTTCAAGAAAGTGATAGCAGGTGGTATAACCTGATGGTGTAAGCTTTGAAGCTGAGCGTTTTACCATGTTAGATGGTTTGGTTTGAAACAGATAATGTAGGTAAAAATGTTTCTCAAACCTCAAAGCAATATACCACTAAGTGAACATTATTATTATTATTATTATTATTATTATTATTATTATTATTATTATTGTTGTTGTTATTATTGGGTTGTCGGAAAGGTCATGACATATTTTTCTCTGTTTTTCATTGCAAAAATGCATCATGACTTTTCCAACAACCCAATATTATTACATAAGTAAAACTGAATAATGATTAAAATTTATTTCTGGGATGATCTGTGGATTCTTTTGTCATCAGTTTTTAAAAAATGTGTTAATTCAATTTTATAGAAAACTTCCCCAGTCTCATAGTTTCAAGAACCATTAACTTTGTTTCCCTTCAGCAAGACAAATGAAATATGAGTTATAAGAGTTAGTAGTTATTGTGCCTGGGATTTATAATAAGGTGAGAGCAAGATAATGGGTAACAGAAACTGTGTGTAGAGGTGGTAAATAAGAGGAAGGAGGTGAAAACGTATGTCCACTGCTAAATATTATACCAATTCTCATTTCTCAGGTTAGGTAAAAATTAGCAGCATTAGACATGGTGACCACCCTGTCTTCCCTGCACTTGGATCCTAGGAAACCATTCTCTTCAGTTTCTGTCTCCCTCTTTGGTACCTATGCTCAGCCTCCATCAATAGTTCTGCCTTATCTGCTGGGCCATTAAACCTCGGGATGCGCCAGGGCTTGGCTAGTGGACCTCTTCAGCTGTACTCAGTCTTTAAATGATCTCACAGTGGCTTTAAATACCATCTACAAACTAAAGGCTGCCAAACAAATATCTTCAGCCAGCCCTGAAGACTTGTATATACAGAGGGTGCCAAAAAAATGTACACACATTTTAAGAAAGGAAAACCATATTAAAATTGTAATACTCAATATATACCGATAACAAGAGATGAATACAAGTCACATTTGACTTCTACAATTACAAGAGGGGCTCAAAGTGGTTACCATCAGCATCCAGACATTTCTGATTCAGGCAAACTACTGCTTGAGCAACGCTGACCAAAGTGTCCACTTGTATGTATTCTTTTGGCACCCCCGGTATACCTGCTAATTCAAGGCCTCCACTTGTAGCCATTAAAAATAAATCTCTTCAAAATAAAATTCTTAATTCTAACTCAACCTCTATCCCTCACAAAGACTTTCTAACAGCAACTCCATTCATTCACTCACTCACTCATTCATTCATTCATTCAACAAAAACTGTTAAGCTCCTACCATGTTCCAAGTGCTGTTCCAGGGACCAGTAGCTCAGGCCAAAGTCCCCTTGAAGTTTCATTTTTTTAGTCTCATCTCCACTTTTGCATCCTGTTACCTCTGTGCCTTGTCACCTTTATATCCTTACATCCTATACACTGGCAATTCTGTATTTCAAGAGTCACATCACTTCTCCTCACTTCCACCGCTACATCCTAGTCCACTCTGTCTCTGAATAAATGAATGATTCCAAAGCCTGGTGCAGTATCTGGTGTCTTTGCTTCTATTATTGCCCCTCTTCAGTCTTTTCTCCACACAGGGCAGGGGTCCTATTAAAATGAAAGTCAGGTCATGTTCAGTCTTCTGCTCAATGTTCAAAGGCGTCTCATATCATTCAGAGTAATAGTAAGTGCTTCCAGTGGCCCGTGAGGCCATTCGTGTTTTTGCTCTGCATCCCACTTATTTCTCTGGCCTTATCCTGCTATGGCTATCACTCTTACTCACTCCATAGTGGCCACACTGGGTCCTTACTCTTCCTCCAATATAGGAAGCACACTGCTCCCTCAGGAAAACTGCACTTGCTATTTCTTCTGCTTAGACTGTGCTTCACCCAGACAGAGCTGTACCTACTCATGCACACGACAATGACACCACTTTTCATCCAAATATTGGTAGGTTTCGCCTCTTCACTTTTCTCTAGGTCACCTGCTCAGAGAGATTTTCCTCTGCTCTGCTGCTTAAAATATAACTGTCCCGTTTCCTCCATCACTCTCTATCCCCTTATTCTGCTTTATTTCTCTTTATAGCACTTCTCACAACTGGAAATAACTCACATTTATGTATGTAAGTATGTACATATGTGTTTCTCTTTGTGTGTGTGTGTGTGTGTGTGTGTGTGTGTGTATTTTTTCTGTCTCTTCTGACAATATGAGGCCCAGGACATGAAGTTCATATGATTTGTCTACTGATGGTCCACATCAGTGGTCCAATTTATGATGAGGAAACTAAAGCCCAGAGAAGTGGAGAGCCTCTCTGAGAGCTTTTTTCTGGAGAAAATGGGAGGAAAGGGAAGTACAAAGATGGAGGTGATGATGAATCCTATATCAGAGCATGTGATAAGGTGCGCAAGTTAACAAATTCTATCAGGAGATGTACTAAGTTTGTGACCTCGGAAAGTTCTATAATCTTTTTAGACTTCAATTCCCTCATGCATAAAGTCAGGGTAATAATAACAGAGCCACCCTCAGAAGGTTGTTCTAAACATGAAATGAGGTGATGCCCACAAATCACTAAGCTTGGCATTACATAAGCTCTCAGAAAATAGGAACAATTATTTATTATCTGAGAGAGTTTCATTCATTGTTTATTAAGCACTGCTTGAACTACTTGAGGAGTGACTAAACAATTCACGCACTTCTATAAAATAATTACCTGGTGCTAAATGTGCTACTCATCCCCAATACATGATGATGCCTGGACATGAGAAAATATAAATCAATGTGATAAAACACCTTGATCTTTTACATATCAGCATGAGAACAAGACTGGTAATGTGAAAGCTGGTGATAAGAATAATACCTTTTGTTTATGTTACACATTACAAATTAGAAGATCTCTTCATATACATTATCCTATCTGACCTTCACAAATATGGGAAGTAGGCAGAAGAGATTATATTCATCTATTTTTCAGATGAGAAAGTTAAAGCATAAGGAAATTACATAATGTGATCAAGTTAAAAAAAACCACAATAACTGTATATTACAACTATTAATACAAAAATTTAAATCTTTGGATCCCTAGACTAGGGCTCTGTCCAATATATGATCTTTTAACATGAACATGTTAAGGGAAGGACGGAGGTACTTATGCTATGAATCCTTCCAATGTTCTCTACATTTGAAAGAACTTGATTTTTTCTATGTGCTCCCTTTAACATATTTCACTATTACTTCCATATGTGAAGAATGAAATAAAATTTATTGAGCAATTATCAATGATTGTGTTAGTCATCCACATTGTACAATTCATTTGTCTTTTTGCATCATTTAAACTACATGCTCTATTCAGACAGGCACTACTCCATTTTATGTGCATGGACAGCCCAGTTACTACTATGTAATATGTGTTCAATAAGTGTTTTTTGAATAAGTGAATTAAATAGTTTATTTGGCTATCTATGGAAAGAAACAACTGAAAATAAACCTGAATTTGAATCACACAATCAAACCAGTATGATTATAGTAAATCTTATAAAATTGCTGTTTCCTAAGACAAAAATTGTTGATATCAACAACTCATATGGCTAAAAATAACTGTTTTCAAAGAGAGACATCATTTTAGAAATGTCCAGTTTGCCAATCAAATTTCTGGAATTTATGGAAATCCTTTTCAGTTTACTTCTGGTTATATAAGCTTTAATGTACCAACAAAGAGAAAAAGAGACAACATTTTTATTTCAATTGTAAGTCTCATGACTTCAAAAATTCAATTTCTGAGGCCAGCCGAGTGGCTCAGCTGGTTAAGAGTGCAAGCTCTGAGCAACAAGGTCACTGGTTCGATTCCCACATGGGCCAGTGAGCTGTGCCCAAGCCGAGCTGCCATTGAGCTGCCAACAGGTGGCAGGATGGCTCAGCTGGTGAGAGCACATGCTCTTAACAACAAGGTTGCTGGTTCGACTCCCGCATGAGATGACAGGCTAGGCCCACCCCAACTAAGATTGAACATGGCACCTTGAACTGAGCTGCCCTGAGTTGCTGACAGGCGGTCGGATGGTGGCTGGAC